ATCAGGAAAATGAAAGACCCGTCCTCTGAACTGTTCATTTTGACCTTCGAGGCCGTTGCCATTAGTTTGACCTGCATCATAAATGAACACCTTCTTCTGACCATCTTTCTTCCACTGAAACACCTTTGAATCAATGTTCTCCTTGGTGCTGAGGGAACAGGGTAAGATGGCGTCCTCCTCTTCTTTCACAACGACATATTTTCCTGGAGGATAAAAACATGTGTTTGCTGTTAGTGCAGTGTCTGAACCATAAAGAAACCTCTGAGTACCCTTCAGGCAGTGGCCAAACCCAGATTTTATGCACTCAGTCTTATTTTCATTGAGATTTAAAAAGTTAAGTGCCAGCCATGATTTCAAGTCTGTCAAACAGTCAACCAGTAATGACATCCCTCTTGTTGCCTTTAACGGTAAGTAAATCTGAATGTCATCAGCATAACAATGAAAAGAAAGGCCATATTTCCTTAAGACAGATCCCAATGGAAGCATGTACAGTGAGAACAAAATGGGACCAAGCACAGATCCTTGGGGGACACCACAGGAAAGGATAGTTGAGGAGGATGAACAGGTACCAATATTAACAATAAAATTTCTATTGGTGAGATAAGATCTGAACCAGTTAAGAACAGCACCTTGAATTCCTACACACTGCTCCAAACAAGGCAAGAGGATTCCATGATCCATTGTATCGAAGGCAGCAGTGAGATCTAAAAGCACCAATAAAACCAAATCCCCGGTGTCCCTAGCCAAAAGGATATTGTTACTGATTTTTAAGTCCCACAGGAACAACAAGAGTATCTGCAGGAAATATTGGAATGCCCACTGTTTATTACACCTGGACCAATGGAGGAGGAACAAGCAGACCTTTGGGAGGATGAAAGGGAAGGAATGGAGGGGAATGCAAAATATGTGGTCATGGATGAGTGGGAGGCAGAGCTGGACTTTGATGAGGAAAAGGAAAAACAGCAAAAATCTTCACATATTTGTGTTTAACAACATGATGACAAATGAGTTGATACTGCTCTTGATGCTTTGTCACAATAATCAATAAACTACAAGCTCCAGCAAACCAGCTGCACCTGTCCGAGTCAGTAACACCTGCTGTGAGTTGGAAAAACATGGAAACTCAGCCTGAAAGAAAAGATGGAGCAGAATGAGGAGAATGAGATGTAAATGGCCACAATGGTGCAAAACACCTTAAGAGAGACACGAAACTCTTTGGATCTGTGGCTCTTGGACACATCTGTGTTCAGGGGCCGCTCACAATTTAAATTTGATGCTTTTGTCTGATTTTGGACAGCTAGGTCCTTGAAAACAAATGTATTCAGGATCATTTACTGCTTCTTCAGGTTGAGAACACACTGTGTTACAGTTATAAGGTTCATGGATCAGTTGATCTGAAAGAAGTTCATAGATATGTTTACAGGAAACGTACAGGATGGAGACAACGACCTGCACATCCGCTGCACGTACAGAGACTTGTCCAGGCACTGTGCAGTTCTCTGGACCTGCTGGACTGGATCAGGATGCTGCTGTGACCTGCTCCACCTGTGATGTCTGGATATTTATCTGAGCTGATTATTAGCATCAGATGATCAAACTCTATTGATGATCTTTATTCTCACTTTGAGCTAAAAGCTGACGCGGCAGGTGCAGCTGTTTCCGTGATCCTGACACAAACTATGCAACAGCCAAACCAACAGGTTTCACCTCAGTACATCACACTGACACAGAATAAAGAGTCTCAGTCTGACTCCGGAGCTTTCTCACCGTTTCCATCAGCAGACGTCAATCTGGACCAAGTCAGGACACAGAGACACACGAGAGGAAGAAGCGCCATAGTTGTCCAAGTCATGTGAACACAAACCATCTCAGCATCACTTTGGCAACAAAACAGCAGCCGTTGCAGAGAAGGCTGGCTCTATTTCTGCATGTCCTATGCCTCCTCAAAAAGCAGCGACTCCTGCACAGGTCCTTCACCGCAAAACCTCCACATACTGCAGATCAGCTATGACTCATGAGTTCTGCACAGAAACTGTTCAGTTTGTGACAGTTTCCCCCCGCAGTGATTTATCTTCACACTAACGTTTCATCTGTAGCTGTGGGAAACTACAGGCCTCAAAAAGCCAGTTTCACCTTGTTAATGCTCAGGCGTCTGTTCTCCTCTGACCTGCACTGTTTCACTTTAACAGTTTGAATAAAAGCAACTGAACTAAACTCTGCACAGAACAGAGGCTGGGATTTGGAAACGATGGTGTGAACAGGAGCAACGATTACACCAGAGACTTTTTCATTTTAGTAACAGACTATTGTTTTAAGACAGAGTGACGTCAGCCTTTACATTTCAGATGTTAATATTTGACCATTAACTATAATTTAAACATAACAAAACTATGTAATGATACAACTAGATGTTGGGCCCTTTTGAAGACAGGTCCCTCAGAGGAGGTCTAATGCAGGATCATTATTAGCTGTAGTCACAGTGAACCCGAAGTCAGAGCATCTTTATCTTCTGGAATCTGATAGATTTCCCTGTTTAATTACCAGACAACATTAAATCACATTCTTCAGATTTTACTGGATAATTGCTTCACTCAGAAAATAAAATAAAAACCAGAGAGGACTTTGTTTGATCTCCAGTAAACCTACGTAGGACTCTGCATTGTGTTTTGTTGTGAAGTGCGGTGTAACGTGGAGAGAAGAAAGTGTCACACGGTTCTGGACTGTGGCTGAAACTTTGGATGCACTTTACTGGCTCAGTCTGACAAAACTCTCTTTCATCTGCTGCTGCTCACACAACAGTCACTGACTCCAGCACCTTCCAGCTCAGAGACAATAAACACTGAACAACATGACGTCCTACGAGGACCTAATCTTACAACTACGGTGTCCAGTGAGGGATATACAGTGAGAAAGACTCAATTCCCTGTTGGGAACAAGCCTCAACAGTAGCACTTAGGGGTTTATTCTGGTCAAGGCCGGATAATGGACTGGGCCAGTGGGACCTGTGCCCCAGGGCCTCTGACTACCAGGGACCCCTCACCCTGAGACCAAGGTCTTCTTTGGCACATGTTCATGTTCTGAGGCTTTCTGAGGGCCACATGTGAGGACCCCAGACAGTTTGAGGTTTTCTGAGACTCCTGAAGGTTCAAGACTATGGGATAGAACCTACAAGGGCCCCAGAAAGCCTCAGGCCAAGCCTGGGGGCCCCTGGTAGCCTGATGTTTCCTCAGAAAAGGCGTGAGGTTTTCAAAGGCCCTGGGGATTAGTCCAAGTCCATCTTTGGCACTGAGTTGTGTCCTGAGGCTTTCTGAGGGCCTTAGAATGGAAAGGACCTCAAACAGCCCCAGGCCACATCTGGGGGCTGCTTAAAGGCCCTCTTAAGTTCTGGGGAATAACAAAAGCTCTTGGCCATACCCGGAGGACCTTGACATCCCTTGACTGACACTAGCACTTCGGGGTTTGGAGATCTAGAAACTCACACAAGCTCCGGAAAACACAGGTAAAGGGTGAGTGTTAAAAAGTTAGTTTATTAAAGTGACCAAACTCTCTACCCAGAAATTACTACACAGATTTAGACAGAGGGAAGGACAGACAGGATGAGAGGAGACAATAAACAGATGGACAATCGCTGTCTCATTCACTGCTCCCTATAGAAAGTACACTGAGTAAACTGATGGCCAGCCTCTTCCTGTGTGGCTGCACAGCGACAGTAGTCCACCTTGGTCGCACTAGTTTGGAGGATAACATCTCCTTCTGTGACCTGTGGTCCTTCAACAGTTTCCAGCATGGTCCTGCCACTGGAGCTCTGGTATGGGAGAAGCACCTCAGACCAAACGTTGCAGCAGAGCGTCAGCCTTTGTGACATACATTCAATAAATTAAAATTAAAAAGAATGCATCAGGCCCAAAACCAAATCCCCGGCGTCCCTAGCCAAAAGGATATTGTTGCTGATTTTTAATAATGCTGACTCAGTACTACGTTTTGATTTAAAACCAGATTGAAATTGCTCGTCAATGCCATTATCTGTCAAAAAAAGCTGGAGTTGGATAAATACAATCTTCTCCAGAACTTTAGACATAAAAGATCATTTAGACACTGATCTAAAATTAGAGAACACTAAAGGGTCAAGATTTGGCTTTTTGAGAAGATGCTGGACAATTGCTTTTTTAAAAGCATTTGGAAGTGAACCTGTACTTAGACATAAATTAATTAGAGCCAGAAAACTAGGCCCAACAGACTCAAAAACATCCTTAGGCAATCTAGTTGGCAAACAATCTAAAGAACAGTGAGATGTCTTAAAGACATAAAGGCCTGGATGACCTGTAACTTCTTACTTCTAAACTCTGGCAAAACTGAAGTCATTGTGCTTGGGCCTGAAAACCTTAGAAATGTGCTGTGTAATCATATAGTTACTTTAGATGACATAGCTCTCGCCTCCAGTACTACTGTGAGGAACCTTCATTTTTGACCAGGATATGTCCTTTAAATCACACATAAACCAAGGCTCTAGAACTGCCTTTGAGCTAGTCTTTACTTATTTTAATTCCATTTATTAATGCATTTTGGTTTTTGGTATTTGTGTTTTACCTAGATACCTTTTCTGCCTCATAGTATTTTATCTATAAAGCACTTTGAATTGTATTAACCTGTATCAAAGGTGCCATATAGTTTGATTTGGCTTTTATTTGAGTCCTTAAAAAAGTTATGTACTGTAGGCTTGATGTTGTCAGTTCATCAGGTTGTTCTTTTAGTCCATGAGAATTTGTATTCTGCTTTGATTTCAGCTAAAATATGAAACTTCATTGAACAGCTAGAGACTCATGTTCCAGGTCTGAGCCACTGGGTGACAACAGAGCAAGCTGCAAAACATACAGTAACACTTATGTGGTCTGTCCTTCATCGTTGCAGTGTAACTTTGTAATTAAAGAAGAAACACATTAATATAAAATGCATCTGATTAGATTATTTTTTGTTTATTTTAACAAACTCAGTGGTAAAGTTTGAAATTTTCAGCTGCAGTCAGAGAGATGTGATGACACATCACAACAATATCTTGGTACCAACTCCAAGGCTCAAAATGAGAAGAGGAACAGTCGTCTTTACAAAAGACAGGGACACTATGAGATAAATCAACACCCAGTGTCATATAAATCATTATTTAACACAGACATTTGCACTTTACAACAAGAATGAAAGAGGAAAAACTGACATCTCTACAGTTAATATCCAGCTATGTTAATTCACTACCATCAGAGACAAAACAAGTTAAGCATTACAACAGTCTGAGACAGGACCTGATTAATAAGCAAACCTCTCAGAAAAAAGGCTAAAAATACACATTGACCCATAACAGTTCAGTGCTGAACAATCAAAGACATTATTATATGTCCACAGACCAAAATGATCACTGACACACTGAATTAGTACATTTTTTCATCACACACTGTATCACCAGAATGTAAGATACACCTCGTTTATATTACTTTTGATTTGACTGAACTATTTATTAATGTTGCTCTTCCTTAACATGAACGATTGTATTTCAATATTTTACTTTTCCCTAGGAATTTTTTTTTTCAACAAGAGAGTCTGATATGCAATAAATAGCGTCTGTTCATAAAAAAGAGCAAGTCTATAAAATTTCAAAGAAACCCATACCAGTAAAAAGGTAACTAATGTTACCATGGCATTATAACAGTACCAGTACATGAAGTACAGTGAGGTATAATAATAATTAGTGATGTAATCAGATTTGATTCATGCAACATGCATGACAAGATGTTCTCTTTCTTAACTTGAAAGATATTGTTTCTGTCATTTCTTTAAGAAATGTCATGTTGAAAAAAATCCAACACACAACCTTCTGTTCATACAGAAGAACAAGTCTATGAAATGTCATAGAAACCACTTCCAGTGATCTTTGACCAATGTGGTCGTCTCAGTTTGTCTGGTAGTAACTCCAATGTGTAGGTGTCTACCACGACCTCCAGGGGGCGCTGTTGACTGGACTCTTCTGTCATCAAACTCTCATCTCCAGGATGTCTGCTTTCTCCAGCTTGGAGTCTGGCTGCTGTTTGAGGAACTCTGGACCCAGGAGAGACTTGAGCTGCTCAATGCTGCTGTTGATTCGCTCTCTGCGTAACTTCTCCACCAGAGGCTTTCTGAGCTACAGAGAGAAGAACAAAGTCATTTATAAAACCTTTTCTGTTGTAAAGTGTGAACATGAACACAAACACCCTCTCATGAATGATGTTTAAGTCTCCTTGAATCTTCAGTTTACCTTGTGGGTCAGAGTCAGGTGCTCCTGAGAACTGGTCATCGCTGCAGTGATTGTCGGGGCCATGTCTGGATCTCTGTGCTGTCCAGGTCTCTGTAGAGAGAATCTGATCTCTGCTGGCTCCATCCCTCCTATTTATAGTCCCACATCTCCATATCAATGTGTGGGTCTTGGTCTAGTTGGACTTTCTCACAGTCTCAGCCAATCAGAGAGCTTAATGAGACAATATGGCATGTGGAGCAGTAACACGGTGAATTGTGCTACATTGCCCCAGGACAATGGTTAGATCTCAGGGGAACAGGTGGAGGACTGGGGGTGATGGAGAGAGACTCACAGAGCCCTGTGTGAATCTGGGAAAGTGGTGACCCTGGGTACAACATCTAAAAGTTTCATTGCTGTATATGCAATTTACCTAAGCCTTCAAAGTTTTCTTGTAATGAAAGCAGTTATTTGTCAGTCACTGGAAAACAATATTAAATGTCCATCTTTTATTTTTATTTAAAATTTATATTAAGTTCCTGGTGTCCAGATGTGGCAGGTGTGTCCTCTGTATTGTGGTCGGGAGCTGGCGTGAGCAGAAAGTTGCTCTCAGTTTCCCACACTTTCTTTGAATGATGTGGTCAGTGCACTACAAAAGAACATTGAAAGGAGGCTTTGTGATGGATGCTGGTCGTGTGCTGTAATGGAGACAGAGCCTGACGTCACTGACCATCTGGAGGGAATGGACCCCATTGGTTGACTTTGAGGTTTTGACAGAACGGTCAAATGCAAAAAAGCAATTAATTGGCTTCCCCTTTTTCAGATTGCAGTTGCAGAAATATAAATATCCAGTCACAGTGAAGCTTTTGTATCATGTCTATACATGGCAGTGGGAGGCTGAGGCAGCTGTTTCCTGAAGTGTGTCAAATCCCCCAGGACAATAGTCGACTGCTGGTGAGGTTAAGGATGCAAATCAACTTGAATTGTGATGCTCATCTTCAGAGCTACCCCATGCTTTGTCCATTAAGTGAAAGTTATGTGTATGCTGGTTCAAAAATGGATTTTGGTCAGCACAGGAAATAGTATTAACTTAATTTGACATCACCTTTTATGTAAAAACAGTTATACAAGCAGGAAATGTTTCAGGCCAGCAGACTAAACATTTACATTGTTATATAGACAGCATATACAGATAATGTGTAATACTCACTTACATTCTCTGTTATGACGGATGTGGTTAGCCACATTTCTACAGTGACGACCAATTTATTCATTAAACACACAATGACAACACTAACACTATTAATCAGTCCCAAAGAGTGAAGTGTGCTGCATCAAAACTACCAAAAATATCCCACATAGTCAGTATATCATGAAATATTGAAAATGAAATGAAAATTCACTCGTACATACAAGTTTTCTGTTTACACACGCTAATGTATACAGCATATCTGTTGTTTAAATTATGGACAGAGACCAAATCTAAATTTACAAGACCTATGTTACTCCATATGTCTGATGCACATCTCATGGTGTCAGAATGAACTTATTACCATATATCCAGCAATATTCATTCTGAATCTGATTTGCCCTTTGATACTGCAGTGTTCATTCTTAACCCCTGTGTCTCCAGGGCAGAGGTCTTGAACTTTAGCCTCAGTGTGGCTCTGTGAGGCACTTTTCCCTGGTTTCCCACACTCTGGCCTGTCACTGCTTTTACTGAAGGATCAATACAAGTGTGTCTCATTATGCATCACATTGGCCGCAATCTGTGGCCTGACATGGATGAGAATGGTAAGTGCACCAGAATCTAATTTTCTTTCTTCTTATATGATCAGAGGTGAGGTAACTTTGACCCGTAATCAACAAGTGCATTTAAAAAAGACATCAAAGATGTCAGCAGATCAAAAAGCCAAATGTAGACTTGAATGCTGTTTGTCACTGAACAGTGGAGTGAAAGCAAAGCACTAGCTCTGCTGTCATAACACAGATTGGTGAAATATATAAACTGTACATGATAAAATGATAAATGAATAGATTTTATCCTCTTTTTCTTCTATTCCAAACAATCGTGAGTGACTACAACAACCTAGAGTTTACTGCTCATATCTGGTAGTCAGAACTTCCCACATTTCAGCTATTTGTTAAGATGTCAATGAAAACACAAAGCCACAGTGTCGTAGCTAATTAGAATCTCTTTATTACAATCACATGTACATCATCATATTCCAAAAAGCTTGCTGGAGTGAAAAGTACCCTTGCACAGATGGATGGAGATGGTGTTCAGGCTGGATGGAGCGATTGTCAGATGGAGTAAAACAAGTGTCGAGTCCCCCAATAGCAAGCCTCTCCGCTCCAGTGTGCTTTTAATTTCACATCCTGTGTGGACAGCAGCGCTATTTTCAGCTCTCTGTGTCCTTGTGTAACGTAAGCAAAAAGAGTGAAAGGGGGGCGGGTGGGAAGAAAAAGTCTCTTCGTCATCCATTATTCAGACTGTTTGAGTCATAGCCAAGAGAGAGGGAAAATGTGGAAACAGACCGGGTGGAGGTTTGATTTCAAAATCTTTCTCTCTGATTCTCAGTGTTTAAAGAATTTTTTTTCTGTAAATCATCTTGTTCTTTGGTTTCCACAGAGTAAGATGAGAAGATGGACATCAGTTTCATGTCGGTGTATCCAGTACAGGGAGAGGCCCAGGACATACTTAGCTTAGGGGAACTGCATCAAATAAAAAGAGAAAAATCCACCTTTCCAAAAAAACCCCAGAACCATCTGATTTGATCACACTCATTGATTAGGGCTGGTAACCCCACTGAGAGTGATTATCTGGTATTGTGCTGCTTCCAAGCCAATCAGACCTTTGCCTGCGGAATGACAAATGGGAACATGGTAGGAAACATTTACACATAAATGTTGCCAAGCATTTGTAGCTGTTAGTGACTCGTATAATAACATACAGTACTTGTTCAGTGAACATGACAACTCCTAGCAGCCATTTAACAGTGGGTCTGTTCTAGTCAAGTGCCCCACTAAGCCATGACAGTATGACAGCCAGTCTGCCAGGAGCTAAATGTTATTCAGCCTTTCTTCATTTTATTATTGTGCCTATGACAAGTCAAAATGTCTTTTGTAAAAAGGCCTGTTGTGTTGCAATTTTTGTTCTGTGAGAGTGATGACTACCTTATTAGCTAACAGCAGTAAATCTGACAGCTCAGATGGGGGTTTTGACGTCCACCATCACTGGTCCAAACTGAAATAACTCAACTACTTGATAGACTTCCAAGAAATTTGATTCCGTGGCGCCCTGGAATTGGAGTAATTTTTGAAATACCATGACTTTTCGTCTAGCTCTAAAATGCTAATTAGTCAATATTAGCTATCTCTGTAATAACATTAATGATATAGTCCATCTACAACATCTGACTCTGGAGAAGCTGGCCAAGAAGAAGACAAAAATGTCATAGTGCTCCTTTAAAGCTACAATATGTAACTTTTTCAAATATTTTTATTGTAGGAATATGCTCCAAACCTTGTCTTAATGTGAAGAGGTGCTGTCGAAGCTTATTGTGACCCGAGACTAATTGAATAGCACTGGCAGCAGTGCAGAGATATTAGCTTCTAAAAGGCTTTGAGTGGGATTGCCCTCTCTAACCAGTCAGAAATGTTCAGGTTTCTCTGCTTGATCAGTAAATTTTGTTCTATTCTCATCAATGGTAATTTCATAATGACAAATATTTGAAGAGCTGGGCAGAGCATGATGGAGCGCAGCAGATTGTAGTAGAGCACGATGGAGCAGGGAGAGGGAGCGCTGGGCGGAGCAGAGTGGGTTGAATTGGAATTTCATGCTGGTACTACCTTAAGTTACATACTGTAGCTTTAGGCATGAAGCAGTCAGTGATCCTATCCATAATTTATGGATGCCACAGTTGGCATTCAGAACAAACTGAACCATTTTCTATGAATTATATTGTGAGTGTTAAATGTATTATTACTACAATGTTCATCTCTGTGCTGTATATACAGTCTCTGTAACACAGCTAGAAGCCTACAGAATCACATGATAAACCAGTGGAGGTGTCTGATGGCATCAGCATGTCCTGTTTTTGATTCCAACCTCATCTGTGCCTTCTGACAAAATCAATATGTACATGTCATAATGACACAAAACAACAGTAAAATTCAATTTAGCTATTTAAAGAGACAATAATATTCACAATGTATGTTCACTTTTTGAAAATGATAAATCAAAGTTTCACCAGATTTTAAGTAATTAAAGTAGATTTTAAAGATCATAGAAACTTTTCACATTGGTTTTGTAACCATCACAAGAAAAATACTTAGATATGTCCAACACAATCACGATAAACTGATTTTTGCTTTCATAAATAATTGTGATAGTTTATAAAGAAACATCAACACACACTGTCGTTCTATCTACAGTCGATCCACTGGCCTCAGTCCCTGGTGCAGAAAGGCAGGGAAAATCTTACGTAGAAAAATTATGTGCAAAAAGTTGTTTTCTTCTTTCTCTCTCATGGAAAACAAGGTAAAGGATGTAAATGTCTACATCACCATTACTCTTGCCGTGTTAGATTCTAGGGTCACTGTGCACTTGTGGTGACTTGTCACTATTGTGCATTGGTTTGATTTAAAACAAGTTACTGCATTTGATGGAAACCTGACAGGCAGGGCATACAACACCATTGTCTAGCTTGAGGTATTATTGCACATTTTCTCAAACTGCAGACCTGGAATCAGTAGACTTCAGATTTACTCACACCATACCTGCTTGTAGTGGAATGTGAACAACAACAACGCTGTTTGTCCTGACTGCAGAGGCGCTTCAGCCATCTGGACACCCTAACATAAAGTTGGCTTGAGGTGTATCTTCTCTTCTGTAGAATAATCTCCACAGCCAACGCATCACTGTAGATTTCAGTAAACATGCATAAGCTGTTACCTGGGAAGGTAGCTCTGTAAACATCCTGCCAACAGTAAAGACACAAGCAGGAACAGGGAGCCTCTTGCCATAAAGGGCCAAGAGTTTGATGCTGCATTCATGCCATGTCAGCAGAACAGTTATTACCACTTTGGAACATTCAAGCATTATGGTGCCTTCATAATTTTTTCAGGCAGGAAGCTGCTACTGCCACCCAACTAATTTAGTGTTTTGCATTTTGACTGGGCGTCAGCGGGAAGCTATTGGCTAGCTACCTCCAGTCAAGTTGTTGCTATCCATCAACTCTGATCTCATCACACAGAAACACTTAGACGAGTGAGATGGAGCTGAAAATAAAGAATGGTTAGAAACATTAAGCACATAAAATAGTATGTTTAGCTAATTGATATCATAAACATAATTTAGTAAACCAGACTGGATAACCAAACTGACTTTCCTTAAAGACCAGTTATGTTATTTCATATTTTTGCTGATGAAGAGGTTTATAATCAATGAGACCATGTAAACCATGTAACTAGCCACCATAGATGTATGACAGTAGATTATAGTGGCCATGGTTACAAAGCAGGCTGCAGCAGCACATTGCAAAAGTTCAGCCATCATCACAAATAACTGTGCACAAGTGTGTCGCCCTGCTGCTGCCTCCCATGGAGTTTACAGTGAAAACAATGGAAGCAGTGGCAACGCTGTCTGAAATAGGTCTGGTGCTCACAGCAGATACAAGAACATTAATTCAAATGAGCAATTTTTGACTGTTTTTTGACATATATGTTCTGTAAAATATGACATGAATGCAGCATGTTGAACAAGTTGCACAAGCAAGTGAATCACATTTTTCTTTTCATTACTACAAAAGCTCCCACCAATTAATACTTTAATTGTAAACAGAGTTTTTTTTTAAAAGCCATTCAGGATTTGGTAGCAAATCTCAGATGTCATTGTCTGCATTGCTACAGCAGATGTGTTCTGTGGCCCTGGTGAAAAAGCAGATCTATGTAATCTGTCATTAGTGCGCAGCCAGGTACGTCACACAGAACAGTATTGCTCCCCGAAAGATCGTGGTCTGTTTGAGGATTTGAATCCAAACTCAAATTTTTGTAATTTTGCCAAAGGATCTGTGAAATTATTATAGCATAAGATGTTACATGACACATATGATGCAAATATTGTCTCTCATCTGACCTTGTTCAGTTGTTTCTCATTACAAGCATCATGCACCAATACACACACTTTATCCAGAATGCTGTACAGTGGAGACACACCCACACATAAAGCTATCAGTTGAGGTGAAGTAGAGCAATGACAGTGAGGTTTCCTCTCTCACACAGCTGATAAAGAAACAGTCCAACATTTCCTTAAATCCTCTTGTTTTCTGTCTTCACCGGAGTCATATGAAAAGATGGACATCAGTTTTATGTTTGTGCCTCAGGTACAGAATGGACAGCTGTCTCTGAAACATTCAGTGGACAGCAGTGTGGAAAGAAAACAGTGCGCATTGTGCTGTAGTGCAAACAGTTTGTGTGGTTATACATTTTGAAGCTGTATGACATCCGCATAGTGGTCTACATGCATGTGATTAGTTGAAAGCAAGATCTTTCAGGTCCTTGCAACCACACAGATGCACAGCTTATGTTTGAGCATGAGTTTACAGCATGCAGACCCTTGTGATCATGCAGATGCAGAAAGTATAATTTAAGATACAAGACTAAGAAATTAATCAGGATGAATAAAGATTAACAAATCAAGTTAGCTAGATGAGAATTAACTAGATTATTTAGTTGGATAACATTATGTTAGATTAATTCAGACATTTATGTAAAACAGGGCCCAACCTTGTTTAGCCTTGCTTATCACAAAGACTGGAAGAAAAAAAACTTCCCACAACACACAGCTTTGGACTTGTTGCAAGGTTGTTTTTTTAGGTGCTAGCTAAGCTAGCAGGTGCCTCTGGCTTCTAATCTTTGTGCCAAGCTAGGCTAAATTCATCCTGGACCTAGCTCTGTACTGGACACATAAGGATGAAACTGCTATCCATCTTCACATCTGACTCTGGAATGGACAGAACAAGAAGGTTTATTTCAATGTTGTATTGTTAACTTAACGTTACACACACTCACACACAGTGTTACAGTTAGACATGGGTCCATGCAGTTAGACAGTGGTGACCGTCAGCAGGGAGCTGGGACACAACATGTCCTCCTGGTTGTCCAGCCTGGTTCCGTGAGTCAGCAGCTCCTCCACTGTCGTCCAGTCATCCAGCAGCTTCCTGTTCCTCAGACGACTCAGCTTCCGTTGACTCAGCTCCAGGACTGTGTTGCACCGCCCTTCTGCAAAAGGTCCAACTCCTCTGCTTTCCAGCACACTTCCATCTCCAACACAGGCTCCTCCTCCTCCTATGATGACTCCTCCCCTGCTGACGGTGTCTCGTGTGGTCCCTCTGGCCTGCAGCTGCTGCTGCCTCTGCTCACGGGCCAACAGGAAATGTTCTCTCCTCTCTGTACGACTCCAGTACCGACCCATCAGCATATCGGTGTTGGTCTCCTCATCGGTACTCATCCCGCTGCGTTCATCTGCAAGTTGAGATGCCCGATCTCTCAGAAGCTGACTCCTGGAGCTCCGTGAGGTTGTGTTGGGTTTGGAGCTTGGATTAAGTTTTGGCTGCAGACTAGAACTGGGATTAAGGCTTGAACTCAAATGTGTGTGTCCTTTCTTTGCTTCCCATCCAGCAGCAGTGCCCACCCCTATGTGGCCCTCCAGGGTGCTATAGAGACCTCTGCCTCCCCCACCGGCCTGGGACTGACGACTGGCTGGTTTCGGCCAGGTGTCATTGATGTCTCCAGCCTGAGGAGGGTGGACCAGAATCTGTAGGTGCTGCTGCTCTCTGACTTGATTCCTCTCTAACTCCTGCTGCCTCTCTCTGTCCATCTCCTCCTGAATCTTTGTCTCCCTTTCCCTCTCCAGCTCTTTCTCTTTTTGGATTTGCCGCTGCTGTTCCAGTTCCCTCTCAATCTCTCTGTCCCTTTCTGTTATCACTGGCTCATTTATCAAGGTTCTTTCTTGTGAGTGCCACCAATCGTGGTGAGCAATCTGGCCATTAGAGTTGTTGTCAAGGTGTCTCTCATGGGTGCTGGCACCCCTCATTTGCCCCAAATTGGCGGGGTGTTGCTGGTGTGAGAGGGCCAGTCCTGCCGGGTGGGAAGGCATCATATCTGCCACTAGCTCTACTTCCTCTGGTAGGCCTTGCGGCAGGACATTGCCTGGTGCGACAACTCCACAGTGGTGCAGGGTTGATGCACAGTAGGAGGGGGAAGCTGGGTGGCTGGCCCTGCGACGGTACTCCTGTGGAGGAGGCCGATGGTGCAGAGTTCGACTTCTTCTCAGCATCCCCACTGAGCTGGAGCCCTGGTGGTGTTGCTGCATGGGTACTAGTGGTCTTCTGTGGCTGGATGGGGTGCTGCAGGTGGAGAGGACTGGGGCAGTCAATCTTGAGACTGTAGTGTGAGCATGAGAAGGATTGAACAGAGCTCCACTGCTGGAGCTGTGATTGTTCAGACAGGGACGGTCCGCTTTATGGAACTGGACTGATGAAACCCTGGAAATACAAACACTGAAGTCAAAAAACAAACAGCCCCAAAACATGTACGAGGACACAGACGATAGCAAGTCTGACAGCAAAACTAAGACTGGACTAACTCTGTACACTTTATGAAACCAGCCCCAAATGCTGTTGCTATTAAACTTGATCTAATATTTACACCAAGTTTGTCATATTGCAAAAGCAGTTATTCTACCAGCTGCTACCTGAAAAGTCCACGAGATGGGAGGTCCATGACAGGCCCGGCGGTCTCCTCCATCCCAAGCTGCACATGCTGACATTGCGGTTGCATAGTCAGCGCCTCTGGGATGGCCTCCAGTAGCTCACGGTGGCTCTTAGGACAGCTATCACGCCGCTCCCGCCTCTCGCAGGGGTCGCCCTGATGTTGCAGTCTGGCATTGTACAGCCGCATTCGCTTCTCCAGCAGCCTCTGGAAGTGCCTAAACTCTCCAGTGCTAACACTGTAGAAGCCAGAGTCGCTGAGCTCAGAAGAAATAAAAGACTCAGAGGAAGGAGAGCCACCACCTCCAAAGCCCCCACAACCCCCAGGGGCAAGGGCCCCATGTGAATGACATTCCTCCAGACCTCCCTCCTCTGTCTCCAGTCCCGAGAGGTCCCCCTGGTGGAGGGAACCATCCGTCCAACCCAGACCGCTGTCCAGCTCATGGTGGAGAGGCAGGAAGCCCAGCGGCTTCTCCAGCATGAAGTCCTCATCATCTGTCTGCAATGACAAGTATATAGTTATGTTTTTATGAAATTCTCACTAATTTTCTAAAACAGCTTGTCACTGTAGGTTTGTAACATCCTTTACTTAAACAGGAGGAAATATGGCATTGGTTGGCAACTGTTTTGAGTGGTTAGTGGAACATAACTCACTGCCACTGTGTGAGTCACTGATGTGTTTTTAATAGTTTTCTAACAGCAGTGGAGCTCAGTGGCACAGAGCAATGAGCTATATCGGGCTTTGGATACACAGACAGTGCTTGTTATTAAAATCAGTTCATTGCTGGTTTGGCTCTGCACATGGGATGTGCTGACAATTAATTTTGTGATTCAAGACTTGAGGACACCTCGATCAAGTGTTGCGTCCAGAGTGAATCGGGGGGATTGAAAGGATATTGTTGATGTTGTGCTACATTCTAATATCAGCAGCACCACTGGGTATCATGGTGTTATGATGATAGTTTTGATATTGATATCAGTTGATGTTGTCATACTTGTTTTCTCATGATAACATGATAAAAACAGTTACAGCTACTCTCAGCTTCCGTCATTTCTACTCAGAATGATAGAGGGGTTTGGTATCAGTATTAAAAAAGAATCTTACTGCCACTGTTATTGAAAAATGACAACATGTAGCTCTAGCTATAAGACAGCAGCAGTTTTGATACCTGACTGTGACAGCCATTAGGTTCATCTACGTTGGTACTGCAGCATCCCATCAGGCAGTTCTGTCCCTTTGGTCGACGACTGGTTAGTTCTAGGTCCTGAGGGGTTCAAGATGTGAAACAAAGAAAATTATGAACAGTGCAAAGCTGTTGTATGTAATGGTTTCATGCCTGCTCAAAGCTCTACCAAACCATACATAAAGACTAAGGCTAAGAGAAATTGTGTATTTAGTCATTTTTTGGCAAAATAAAAAGTGTTGTTTCTGATCATGAAATGATGGAGAAAACTGCATTGACAGTTTGATACGTTTTCTTGTATAAAAAGGTAAAACTGCAGTGTAAAAAGGACACTGCAGTTATCTAGTTTGTCTCTTCATTCTTGCTACCTGGAGGAGGTCATGCAGCTTTACAAAATGTTGTCAGGTGTTCAATCAATCAATCAATTTCTTTTAGGAGAGCGAAATGCAACCAGACATTCCACTTGGTTCTTGATGGAGTGTTTTAACTATATTTTTATATTGTATATATTTCAACTATATTTGTTCAATCAGTATAATATGTTTTTTTTCATAGTGTTACCTGGTGGCTGATGTCCACAGTGTCCCGTGGGGAGTTGGACAGGTAGCTGTACCGTCCTCCATCACAGCAGTCTTGTGGCAGAGACAGATGGTTGTAATAATGTCTGTGACAGATGACAAGAACACAGAATGTACATATTGCATTGTTGTATTGCTGTTTTGACATTTCAACCAAACTAAACCTACTTATTTTTCATCCAAGAAAAAGCTGTCCATACTACTGAAACTATTACCCAACTGTACAGCCACTCGTCATTTTGTCTTTCCATTTGTGTACCTGTCCTGGTATGAGGGGCTAGAAGCGTTAAGTCCCGCCCCCATCAATGGGAGGGGCAGGTTGAGATGCTGCAGGTTGAGGGGTAGGGGTTCCCAGGTTCCTCGCTCTGCGTCTTTGCCACGACCCCTCTGGCCCTTGATTTGCATGGTAATTGGATGCTGACTGGCTGCCAGTATCCGCAGAGCATCTCGTTGACTAAGATGTGCAAAACTCCGCCCACTCACCTGAGCAAAGCAGATAGATGGAGATAAGGGACAAGATGTTAATAAACAGCTTCCTTTTCCCACATCCAGCAGTCATAGAGCAATGTGATCATCTCTTCCAAGTCATATTTGTATCCAATATTCACTTTCCCAAACAGTGTGTTCACACACAGGGATTCAAACATTTGCACTGAGGACAGTTTTCATTCATTGTGAATGAGACGTACACTAGAAGGAAAATTTGTGGAACCCTCAACTTTTGAAAACATCCTCCCTGTGTTTCACTGTACCCAGATGCTGCAAACTTTAGCATCATTAGCATTAGTGTTAGCTAGAGTTGGTCAGTACAAGATACAGTACATAGATTCACTCTGACACTGAGCAGAACCAACTTACTCATTGCTGAAATGTTCAAATCATTTTAGATTAGTGTAGGTAGCATCTAGATCTCTAGCATCTTCGACAGCCAGGAGGAATAAAACAGAGGTCTCCACACCATTGATTTCTGTTTTATGTCTTGCTTTTTCAAAGGCATGGAGTACAATACACTGTCGCACAGATTGTTATCAAAAATATTTTGGTCTACAGGACAAAATTACTGGATGTTATCTGGAAATAAAATTACTGTTACACAATAAATTCTATAAACTTAACACCTGGATCAACTTATACTATGATAATGGGACTATACTGTTTCTCTCTCATGCATTTCTGTATCTAGAATTATTTTTGTGTGATACTCTGACTAATGCCTGGTTGGCTGAAATGAGTGTCCTCAGACAAGACACCTTCTCTGTAAGATTTCCATCCATCCATTAGGCTACCTATACTGCTTTTCCATTCATAGCTGCAGACAATTTAGAGTTACCAGTCAACCTAAGCTGCATATCTTTGGGCTACGGCAGGAAGCAGGAGAAAACCCATAGAGGCAAAAGGAGAACAGGCAAACTCCACACAGGAAGGAGGTAGGCCCAGGTTTGAACCCAGAACCTTCTTGCTGTGAAATGACAGCGCTAGCCATTGCACCACCATGCTACTTACCCTGCTTTTATCTAACAATTACTGAAATACCCAACTTTAACATTTCTAGCTCAGGATAATAACCATGGTTATCTCAGCATGAACTTGGATGTGTACATATTAGGTTTATTGCAAGGCTCCATTACACATAAGAGTTTTAAAGAAGTTGTATTTTACCAGGCAGGGAAGGGCTGATGACAAGCTGCTTTCTAGATGCAGTGTGGGAAAAGTCACCATATCTTTGCCTCTGCTGCACTATTCTTTTTTTGTTTCTCTATCTGTCTCTCACATCAACTTTACAGAAGTGGCAAACTGGACGACTGTTTATCCAGCCATGCATCCATTGACACTGCAGTCAAATTTTAGGTTTCCGGTGTAGTTTTTTTTATTATTTTGTTTTACATTATCACAACACTACATAGAGAAAACTCTGAATTGGTTGACATTATTCAGCTGGATCTTAAAACACAGCTCTGCAGAGAGATGTTCCATTTAAGCATGTCAAACTTGTCAAATGTCATTGATTTCAGTCTAATATGATAAATGTGGACATGATGTCCATGTTTGCACTAAACAGTTAACACCCGCGAACCAACATAAAGCTCATCCAGCTTCACACACATGCACATCCATGCCTACATACGCAGCTCAGCAGCCATCATATTAGACACATGAACCTTATTGTTAACTCCAGTACATCACAACCTACAATACATCGTAAGTCACTCTTTGCTACATTCAACCTGACACACACATACACACACACAAACACAGTAGCCTATGAGCTGAGAAGCACAAAATGGCACCTGTATGTGGAGACAGAAGACGACAGCAAAACGGCTGTCAGCCTTCAGCAGACGGTGAATATCAGCCACATTCTGGCACACAACTGAAATATTCCGCATATTTGCAAAAAATGTAGACCTTTAAACCTCTAAGATTAAAACACACATATGAGGTTTATTGTTCACACAAATGCAGAGTCCTGCAGAAATCATGAAATTCTGGCGTTTGGCATTTGCATCCACACATAAATTTGGATGTGCCTTACAGAGCTCATCTTCTATTAAGATGCCATCAATCATAACCATGAGGCAGATCTTTGGTTACTCACCGTTTGGTCACCCATCCATGGACCAGAGAGCCAGCAGCCCATCGTCACGGCAACAGACAGCTGCCTTGGTTCCTGTGAAAATCAACGACGGTGCTGTTTCCTCCAGCAGATCCTCTCTTCCTCCTCCTCCTCACTCCCTGTCAATCTCTCCTCAGTGTGGCTTTCACTTTCACTCTCTTCGCAGCATCTGTTTTCGCCTCTCCGTACTCTTCCCTTCTTCTTTTCTTCTATATATCCTTCTTCTTTCCTTTTTCATCTATTTTTTAGGCATCTTTATCCTCGCCCCTCCCCCTTTCTTTATAGCCCCAGATCTTAGCATCCTGCACACATACACACACTCACTCACTCATGCATGCATGCAACGCTGCAAAGGAAAAAAAATATGCGCAGGCTGACACAGTGTGTTCAGAATTGGAGAGGGAAACACACGCAGTCACATAGTGAGGATGGTGTCTGATTGGTGGCCTTTTAAGGGTCATCAGCCAATTGGATGCAGTGGTCTCCCTCGGGATATCTTCCTCTCTGACTGAAACCCCTTAGCAAAGCCTCGGCATGTGCAGGAAGCAACCTGTATTGTAGCAATACACACAGTAACAGAGGAAACACCATCCAACTATACATCATCTGTAGCTGCTCATTAAGGCTCCTCCAACAATGTGACTCAAGACATGCTGGGAGATACAAGGTCTAATGTCTTAGATTGGGGAGAAATTAGGGCGAATCTTCCTGAACTCACTGTAGAAAATTTTATAAAAAAAAAAAACAAAACAAAAAGGACTAATTTTGGAAGGGATCCAAGAATGGTCAGACCTGGTCTAAACAGACCCAAGGACAATTGATCCAGTATTAAAGTGCACTCAAACTGACAGTTTAGTCCTAATCTGTTGCTTCTAAACCCTGGTATGGACTAAAAAACTACACCTAGGTTGATGTGGTCTGCACTGAATATGGTGCACAAACATAAGAAGTATATGTAACTGCAAATTTCATTCTCTGTAATTGTAGAATCTATAGCTGAATTACACTACTAGAAATAGGCAAAAAAAGTCTTGTGAAACTTCAGGCTTTCTTCCCGTTTGTGTTGTAAAAAGATTTGATGGGTTGGGGCACAGACCTCGGCACAGAAACGCCTGGTGGATTGTAGGAATAATAGCAGCTGTTAATGACAGGCTGAAACACAATGTGTTGCTCATTATAATCTATAATTTTCTTGTTCAGCAG